TGGGTTTTTAAATTGAAGAATGATGGCAAGAATCTGAGGTACAAGGCACGTCTTGTTGTGAAAGGTTTTGGGCAAAAGAAAGGTATTGATTTTCATGAAATTTTCTCACCGGTTGTAAAGATGTCTTCTATTCGGGTTGTACTTGGCATGGCTGCAAGTATGAACCTTGAAGTTGAGCAACTTGATATGAAGACCGCATTTCTTCATGGTGATCTTGAAGAAGAAATTTACATGGAGCAACTGGAAGGTTTTGTGGAGAAAGGGAAAGAAAAATTTGTTTGCAAATTGAAGAAAAGTTTGTATGGCCTCAAGCAAGCCTCGCGGCAATGGTACAAAAAATTTGACTCTTTCATGATGAATAATGGTTTTTCTAAAACCACTTCGGACCATTGTGTGTTTGTGAAAAATTTTCCGGATGGCAAATTTATTATTCTTTTGCTTTATGTTGATGACATGTTAATTGTGGGTCAAGATTCTACCATGATTAACAAGTTGAAGTTGGAGTTGAGCAAGTCTTTTGCTATGAAAGATTTGGGGCCGGCAAAGCAAATACTTGGTATGAAAATTGTTCGTGATCACAAAGAGGGGCTGATTTGGTTGTCTCAAGAAAGCTACATTAAAAAAGTTCTTTAGAGGTTCAACATGAATAAAGCAAAGCCGGTTGGTTGTCCACTTGCGGGTCACTTCAAACTTAGTTCGAATCAATGTCCTACAAGTGAGAAAGACAAGGAAGAGATGCTGAAAGTTCCTTATGCTTCAGCAGTTGCTTCTTTGATGTACGCCATGGTTTGTACAAGGCCGGATATTGCTCACGCCGTTGGTGTGGTGAGTCGGTTTCTCTCTAATACGGGTAAAGAACATTGGGCCGCGGTAAAATGGATTCTAAGGTATCTTCGAGGGACTTCGAAGGTGTGTTTGTGTTTTGGGGATGGTAAGCCGATGCTTGATGGGTTCACAGATTCTGACATGGCCGGTGATATTGATTCTAGGAAATCTACTTCGGGGTATTTGATGACTTTTGCAGGGGGAGCTGTGGCATGGCAATCTAAATTACAAAAATGTGTTGCTCTCTCAACTACCGAAGCTGAATTCATTGCCATTACAGAAGCTTGTAAAGAAGAGTTATGGTTGAAGAAATTTTTGCAAGAGTTGGGTTTGAAGCAAGAAAAGTATGTGCTTTATTGTGATAGTCAAAGTGTTATTCACTTGTGTAAAAATTCTACTTTTCATTCGAGATCGAAACATATTGATGTGAGATACCATTGGATTCGTGATGTGTTAGATTCGAAATTGTTACAACTCGAAAAGATTCACACAGATGATAATATTTCAGATATGTTGACAAAGACTTTGTCGAGGGATAAACTTTTAAAGTGTCGAACTTTGGCGGGTATGGTTGATTTCTCCACCTAAGTCGGTAAGGGGAGAATTGTTGGGTATACCTCCTTATTGGAGTGTGGGACCCAATTGGTTTTGGAAAAAGAGTTTAATTTGGTTTAGTATTAATTATAATATATTTTTATATATTATATTTAATTTGTGGAGACCCAATCCAATTTGGAAATAACTAAGGTTTGATAATAAACCCTAGATTCACAATATTTTAGGGTTTTGTTTTTGCTCATCCCGAGGTGAAGAGAACGGCTGCTACACATACTCCACTTTGGTGAAATCAATTTTTTGGGTGTGTGAACAGTGAAATTAATTTGGGTGGTTCTTTGCTTCGTTTTCGGTGTTGATTTGGTTCATTATTTTGGATCTTCTACAACTCTGGTTCTGAAGATTTTTGTTCATCTATTTGGTGAAGTCTTTCCTCTTGTTTATTTGTGATTATTTGGAATTCACCTAAGGGTGGTTTTGTGAGACCATTAGTGTCTCGTTTGTAATCGCTTGGAACTTATTTGGTTGATAGTGGAATCGGATTTCGATCCCGTGGACGTACCTCACATTGAGGGAACCACGTAAAAATTCTTGTGTTGCCTTTGATTTAATTTTTCCGCATTAGTTTTTATTCCCATTGATTGGTTTACTTGTGGGGAATCATAGATTTTCCCTAACAAGCTGACAATTATGTGAGCAAGGGGCTCTGTGCAACCAACAGTAGCTACCAAGAAACCGTGTCTCCCAAGAGCTCCAACAAGATCATTTACCTCTAAGCCAGCAGAGTTGGCAATTTTGGGACTAAAAAAATTACACGTTCAGTGTTTCCCTTTGATGACTACACCTAGTTGGCTGAGGGCTTGCAATCTCAACAACTTAAAGAAACTCAATATCAGAGGAGGTCAATTATGTGATCTGGGCCAAAAACTTGATGAATAAGGCTGAGAAGGACAAGTGGGAAGTCGAGGTATTGTGTTTGAAGTACTTAGATGACTTAGAGATGGGTTGGAGTGCTCTGTAAAAATTATTTCCAAAATTGAAATTCTTAGAGATGGTAAACTGTTCGAAACTCAATTGGTTCCCAATCGACAATAGTCAAGTATTTATGGATTCAGATATTTTATATTTAAGGGACGGAATACATATCTCTATTTCATATAATGACATCAATTGTTTTTGAGTTTTGACGATGTATTGCAATCTTATAAAATGAAATGAAGTTTTTCCACTTTATTTAGTAAATAGCCCTCTATGAAATAAATAGGATCATAATTCTGTGTGCATGAAGTAAACGATGAGAGAAGCAATAGCAACAAATGGTATCATGAATGTGCTTGGTCTTTTCTCCTCACCACCAATGTAAACAACAATATTTGATTTGGAATACAGTTCTGTTTGTTAATTCATCTTTGTAATTTTTTCTTTTTTCTTTCTTTTTTTTTTCTTTTTTTGTTGTTGTTGTTGTTGTTGTTGTTTTTTTGGCTCTTTGACTTTCTAGTATTGGCTATTTGATAATCTAGGAGTTGATTTGCTTCGAAAGCCATAGTGCCATGCTTCTATGTGTGTTTTGGTAGGAGCTGTTTGACTTTTTGTGTGTGTGTTTTGTTGCTTCAAAGCTATGTGATAATCTAGGAGTTGATTTGCTTCGAAAGCCATAGTGCCATGCTTGTGTCCAACGCTGCACATACAAAGTCGTTCTGTTGTGGCAGCAACCACTACATAATTCTTGAGAAATGACAATTTTGAGGAAGAAAATTTTGGAAAGAAGCTTTCAAGAGCGCATCCACAAAACATTATTGGTGGAGATATTGGAATACATCTTGTTTTTGGCCACATCTCCTTGCCATTAACCGGGTTGAAGAGATGGGTGGATAACCCGGGCCTTTTCCTAAAATAAGGCAAAATATCAAACTATTTTCCAAACTAGGCCTAGTTTGAACAGAATTCTCAAAATAAGCTAAAATGCTATTACAAACCACGCTTTCACCGTTTTTGTGGCCTTGATGCTGAAAATTTGTAAAATCGTAAAAGCGTGGTTACAAACCATGCTTTTAATTAAGAAAGCGTGGCTGCAAACCACGCGTATGAAGATAACTGTTTTCTATAGAAAGAATGGTTTCTAACCACGCTTTTAAATAAATTTTTATTTTTTCAGAAAACGTGGTTCACAACCACACTTTTCCTGTTGACCAAGGGAAGCATGGATAGCATCCACGCTTTTAACCAAAATCCGCTTTTAACCACGCTTTTATAACCACTCATTGTTGATTATTATTATTATTATTATTCAATCCACATTCTATAATTCGTTCAGTCATCTTGTAAATCTCTATATATAAATTATTCATATAAAATATCGTATTGATAAACAATCTTAGCCACCAAATTTTATTATTTTAATATTTAAAAATAAATTTTGAAATTTTGAAATTATGTTTCACATCCATTATTTTTTTTAAAAAAATGATAAAATTATATATACGATTATTGGATCAATTTGATATTTACATAAATAATTTATACATAAAATTTTTAAAAAATAAACAGCATGTATTGTCTAAAGAGTAGTGAATTGTGTAAAAAATGTAAATTAAACATTTGCTTAATTTACCTTATATTTTTTAAATTGTTATTTAAATATAAAATTAGAAATAAAATTTTATTTTGTTATATAATTCAAATGTAATTTAAAAAAGATCGATGATGGACAAAAATAAAAATAACAAATAAAAAATTAAAAATTAAAATTAAAAAAGAATAAGAAAATAATGACCTCGAGACACAAAAATAATTTGTGGAAACATTCAACATAAGTATCTAGTTCAAACACTTATAACATTCAATAATGACTATAACACTTTAGAACGCCGAAACTAGTTCAAACATAAACATCCCACAAAAATAATTTGTGGAAACATTCAACATAACATAGAACATAAAATAAAGCGACGAGTACAATACGTAACCATTATATAGATAAATATATTAGACAAACCTTTCACAAACTCATTGTTGAAAGAGTTATCTTAACACAGACAACACATAATTATGGATAACCTAATATAATTTAGTAGACAGATAGGCGCCTAATCCTCGCTCAAATCGGCAATCTCAGAGTCCAAACAATCAGAGAGCTCAGGGTCAGAGAGAAGTGTAGGATCGCCCTTGATAGCCTTGATAGCCGCAGCATTTGGTATTGTTCCGTTCTTCTTGGCATCCAACTTAAGTATAGATAGTTTCATATCGTGATCTGACCTACGGCGCATTTGAGAAATCTCACGTCGAAGTCTTTCACATAGTCGATCAACAGTACCTGGATCTTCCTTTTGGATCTGAACTGAACGTGCTTTCGGCACCTTCAGTCGATTTTCCCAACATAATCTTTCCATTTGCACTCGCTCTATAAATAGTGTGGGCCACTTCAGAAGTCTAGCGTTTGCTAAACCATATCCTGTTTGATTAGCACATGGATCCTCCACGAAACCACATGGATCTCGATAGTACTTGGGCATGACAGAATGTTGCTTCCCAAACCTATCATGATAAGCACAAGAGGCATCTAACAAAGTAAATGGTGTTTCATCTTCAACATCACCACTTCCCCTTCTCGTTCCTCTTCCTCAGCATGAACTCTCATCTCTTTCAAAGTTTCTACCCCCTGCGAGTCCCCTTCCCGTTCCTTTTCCTCGTCGTGAACTCTTACCTCTGTGATTCCTACCCCCTGTCATGAATCTATACTCCATTTGATTTTTTCTGAATAGATGCATGATAGTTTCCTAGGGCGAACTGAGTGGAAAGGTTGTGTGTTTACCATCACTCCTTCAGTTTTTTATATAGTTGTTTGTCAACACTATTGCCATGTGATCGTATTAATGTGACTTAGATGAATTCTGAAATGCGAGGAAAAAACAAAGCATGTAAGTCACCCTGCACAGAGTCACATGCATCACTGCATGTGAGGAAAATAGTCACAAAGTATATAATTTACAAAGTCAGAAAGTCGCATGCATCACTGCATCACTGCATAAAGTCACATGCATCACATGCAGCACTGCATCTGAGGAAAAAAGTCACATGCATCACTGCATCGCTGCACAAAGTCACATAGCATCTGAGGAAAAAACAAAGCATACAATTTATTACGTCTGTTAAAGTCGCTACATCGCTAAGAAATGTTGGACGTATCACTGCGCCGAGCTACAATTTATTATCGTACCATAGCTACTGTGCCCATGTGAATTTCTGCAGTTCATAATGGGACGAGGGGGTGTAAGAACAAAACAACAAAATAATTAGACCATTTGTGTTTAAAAAGCCACCCTATGCAGCTCCAAATAGATTCATAAACCTTGAAGATAAAATATTATACAGTTAGAATGTATTGAAGATGAATTTGTAGTAGAGTTAAAATGAATGGGTTTTTCGACGTATAGAACTTGAAAGTGTTACAGATAAAAGCTAGCCTAGTATGAAGACAAGAACAACACCGACTTAAATCAACACATAGTTAACTTGAAATTAAATTGGTCAAATTTCTCCAATTAAATTAAATTAAATATGTAAGGTGAAAAGTGAAATTAAATATATTGTCAAGGAAAAATAAATGAATTATATTTGTAAGCGGAAAAGTGGAATTAAATTTCTAAGCGGATTTGAACTTTGCTTAAAACGTTTAGATATGCACTGAGTAGTAAATAAAAGTCGAAGTGACAACTCCTATAAAGTTGATGCATAGTTGTTCAGGTCATAAAAGTTAACGTGCCAACTCTGATGCATAGTTGTTTACAATAATTTCAAACATACAGCTACCATGTGTATATGTGGTATAAATATCGCATTATACCACAACAAAAGTTTTATAGCTATTTCGAGCGCTATCATCATAAGATATACGGTGGTTGATCTATATTCAATAATGGGTCGCCATTGGATTGCAGATGGAGATGAATTTCAATACCCATTAAATCCAAATTTGCGTTACTCACATGCCGCCGTCAATACCATAAGAGATGAGTGGGAATTTCGCATAACTCAAACAAACGTTCTTGTTGAGCTATGTCGTGAAGTTAATATTAAATTTCCTTGCCGGTTAGCCATGCATATGCCAACTACCACTCCACAGTTGTTGCAAAGGGCATTGCATCGTATCCACGACGAAGTTAATCGCATGACCCAACGTTTGCAAAGGTCCGAACTAATGAAAACCGCAAATGAGCGTGCCGAAGATGGGTTAATGGATGATGTGCACCAGTACTTCACCTGGAGCATAGATGCTATGTATAAATCTGATATTGAGATATCAGATGATGATGATAATGAATGAAATTGTTTGGATGAATGACCAAACCATTTATCTTGTAATGGAATTGTAATGCTTATCCATGACTTATCAATGAAGGGAGAAATGTCAATAGTTTTTGAATAATTCTTGTAATTCTATAAATAACAAATACCTTTGCTTTCTCTCCGTTATTGTTATTTTGAAGAACGCTAATTGAACTAGGCTTTCATGATTTCATGCATTATTGATGTGGAATATAATGATGATATTGAATGAACTTGGTTGCATGTATGACCAAACGTTTTCATTCGTTGTAATGGCTTTGCAATGCTTATACATGAGTTATCAATAGGAAGAGAAATTCGTATTGAATCTTGACATGTGTACTTATAAATATAGTGATTTCATAAACTTCAGGTTCATATAACAAATAGTTGAAATACATTTGTAAGCAAGTTGAATAACAACATTGTCTTACACTCCAGTAACAAAGATACGACATAACATACAAATATATATGAAAGATAAAGGTGTTTGATTTCACACTCCTCATCTGATATGTAGTAGTCAGAGAGATATTTTTCATTGTTTAGGACATTATTTCGCTCAGGCACTGTCAATTCTCTGTTGCTTGCTTCTGCCATTTCAGTGGCTAGCTAACGCATGAAATGTCGACATCTCTGCATCAACATTCTGTTGTTCTCCTTCTTAATTCTGCTAACTGCTTTTTCATAGTCACTCACATTTTGTCTAGCCATGGTCAATGAATGACGATGAGGTACCGGTGCCCCAAAGTTACGTAAATCATTAAATAATCCTTCTTGCTCCGTTACCTTGAACGCCCATTCTGCTCGAATACCAGCATAATAATCCTTCGGACTCAAGTACTTTTTGCTTTTATAGTCATAAGTAAACGGAGGTAGTAGGCACACTTTTGGATTTCTTTGGCGGCGTGAACTTCTTGCACCTCTTGAAGACATTGTTCATAAAATAAAAAAATTAAGATGCAAAAGAGACCCCGTGAACTTCCTGCACCTCTTGAAGACATCATACTGGGGGTAGCGCTATTTATAGACATGCAAAAAAGATGACTTGGTGACGATAATTGAGATGTTGGGGCACTATGGAAGAAGTGATACCCATGATATTATTTTATCTTATTCATTTCATGCAATCCTAAGTACCCGTGACTTTGTGTACCTGTGATGCAGTCACGAACGTAGTTGTCAGATAAAATCATAATTGTGAGTCTACTTTTTCACAATTAATCCCTTCATATTTGAGTAGTGATTTGTCAAATTAATCAGTAATGCAGTGAGTTGTCACATCGCCACAGTAAATTGTTTTCTGATGCTTGCTTTTTTAATACAGTAAGTTGTCACTTCGAACTGACGATTTCAGTACAAATTGGTGTTTGCAAAAAATAATAAATTAAATCATAAAATGAAACATAGGCTTTAATTTTCTTTGTTTTAAATCAATATTGTTCATGAACTTTTTTAATACTGTACCTTTTTTTGGGGTAGTTTTATATAATCTGAAATTTGTGTATACGTGTTTCAAAAAAAAAAAAGTGTTCTTAAATTTTCCATTATGTTATCAAATTCGTTGGGGAAAAAAAGTACAGAATAAGAAATAAAATTTATGTATTTATTTATTTTGTGTTTTTTGTAAGGAAATAATGATCTACTTAAAAAAAAATTTAAAAAAAAAACAGTATAAAAAATTATATGGTTTATTATTGTAAAACGAAAATCCACATGGTACCAAATGCAGCATAACTTCAATCTCTTATGTATATAATCATCCTGTTTAAACCCATTGCGACATCATGATTTGAATATTTGAAATATTTAGGAAATTTTCAAAATAAGTAAGAATCAAAAATTATAAAATTCTATTTTCGAATAAATAAATATAGCACATTTACATCCTCTGTACAAATTTGATTTATAAAAACTATAAATAACAAAACTATACACTCCATATCACACCCTCTAATGCCCTAACCTGCCCCAGTACCATAACCCTGCCCGTGGACCTCCCTCCTCGGTCTCCTGCCGTATATTCTCTGAATATGTGGCTCCCCCAATCGTAAATGTGTATCCTGTGGCATTCTCTCCCCTGCATGTGGCCCTCCACTGACTGCTTATGGAGCCTGTGACTATAACCCTCCCTCTCCTGCCTGTGCTGCCCCTGATCCTCTCTCTAGTCCAACATCGGATACTGTTGTGAGCTGTGAAACTCCCTCATCTGGTGCAATTGTATCACAATCTGCAGCTGCATCTCAACCTCTGCCTCTGTCCGCACCCCGACCTCGGCCACAACGTCCGCCACGACCATAACCTCGGTCTCTCCCTTGCGCTCTGGGAGGGTCCTTAATAGGGGCCTCATCCTCAACGTGGGAGATGTCAGTGAGAACTGCATCATGTGTACTCATGGTCGCAGCCGAACTAGTCCCTACAAAAGTAGGTGTATGTAGTGTGGGACTATGTGATGTACATGTATCAACCCCAACACTACACACACCTGAACGGTCTGGTGGTGGTAACTGGGTGGGTGGGGTAACAATGTCATACATGTATCAGGGCGGTGTCCAATCAGGGTCAGCTACATAAGGTATGTCAATATGTTGGGTAGGATGTACGTGGAGGGAATCTGGAGATATGTATGGGGTAGCATGTGGTGGGGTGAATGATGTCCAAGGACCTGATGTGGCTGGCGCTGAAGTGGAAGGCACTGACGTGGACGACACTGATGTGTCTGGAGCAGCTGCTGCATTATGTACACCGTAGTGGCCAAAATGCAGATGATCTCCCCAATGGGCATGCTGGATCACCTCGTACAATAAGTCTTGGATCTCTACAATGGTCTGCAAGGCATGCTGCCCATCACGTCTGAAAAGGGCGTCCTCAACCAAGTGATATGACCTCCCAGCTCCAACCACCTGAACAAAAATTCGGGCGCATTAGGCTACAGTTGACTGAAAGTAAATCAATTATGATCTTAATAATTATCTGACACATACTATGATACTCACCAATGCCTCAAGAGAAGGCCCAACTCCCTGATATCCGGACTCAGACAGGTGGCTCGGATTACCCACTAGTAGGTGTATATGTCGCCGATACCACAACATGTAAGGGTCGGAAGAGAGGAGCACCTCATCGCTCCAGTCAGCCTGTACAATATTGTCTCGACGGGCATCCCACAACTGTATATATCGCATATAAAACATATTCCAATCAGTGCCAGCTCGGCCTATTAATCACATGCAATCGCCACTCGGTGTAGAACCAATCCAGCACAGACTAGACCCGACCAAACTGTCGGAGGACACGATAGGGGAGATGCCACTCAACCACGTCAAAACAAATAAGTGGTACTCTCGCCATCCATATCTCCTAACCTAGTCAGTAGTAGTCGGGGAGCGTACTGAGGACCCCAGCATAAGGCTGCCAAATAAACTACAATAACGACAAGTATATTAAATTCCCTCGTGAACTGAAAACATATACAATGAATAAGACAACTAAAATTGAGAGCAAAATTTCATACCTCACCCTCGATCATCCGGTCGAGCTGGTCTCTATAAACGACGACTACGTAGGTCGATATGACCTCATGGCCAAAGTCAACCCTCCACCGGCTACCTCTAGGTCCGGGTGGCAACTGCATGTCTCCCTGGCCCATGGGAAGCTCACCAAGAGCAACCACTTGCCGCCTAAATAGGACAATGCGAATGAATCTCTCCTACGCCCAAATCTGCAATAGTTTGAACGCAATTACAATACTGATTTATGTCATACAATATGAATTGACATGTAATAAAATTCTTACTAACCTGTAGCAAGACAAGTGGTCCTCTGATCTCCTTCGTACCCACCTGAGCTGGTCGACATAGCATCCTATACAAGCATGCCAAAGCCGCGTCACCCCAGCTGTACTAGCCGATCTCGTCAATGTCTCTCAGCAGTGGCAAGTACATCAGCTTGAGCAGGTTCTGTGACTTATCAGGGAGATGTACCCCCCCAATAAGACACAGAATATATGCTCGGGCATGCTGCTGTACCAACTCATCTGGAGCCTGATCTAGAAGAGGACCAAACTGTTCGGCCAGCTACCTCACCCTCAGTCTACCTGCTTGTAAGTCTGCAGGTATAGGTGCTACTCCTAATAGCTCACCACATAGGGCTATCCATTGCTCCCTCGTCAATGATGGGTCAACTCCTGTAACTGCTCACCCATCAATCCGTAGACCATATAGGACAGATACGTCCTGCAATGTGATGGTGGCCTCCTCGATCGGGAAATGAAATTTATGAGTCTCTGTGCACCACCTCTCGACGAGAGCAGTGATGAGTGGGTGGTCCAGTCTAATATGCCCGATATGGTAGACACCATAAAATCCCGCGCGTAGTATATACTGCAAGACTCTATGGTCCAACGGATGCTCCCACAAGCCAGAATCTGCTCAGCGACATGTCAACACAGTGTGTGCCTCGTCCTGCATAATAGAATAACTAGTTTAAATAATAGCATTATCACGTAATATAAAACAAAATGCAGGGTATTTTACTTGTAAGCGTAAAGTCCAACAAACGTTATTGCATACCAGATGCTCCCATATACTGTCAACCCAATATGGATGACTGAAAAGTGGGACCTCCTCAGGTAGATGTGCCATTAAGCCTGTACAAGTGAAATACTAGATCATAACAATAAAAGCCTCATTTAATCATAACAGAAAAACTGTTATTATTCCATAAATTACGATTTGTAAAAGAAAAGTATGCTTAGCTATTTCAAAATTTAAATTTGTGTGATATTATATATGGAAGCAATTCACTAAAATGTAATTAATTTTTATTTCAAAAACCTCTATTGGTTAACTGTAATTTAACTATAACAATTAAACTCTAATTAATTCCATACACGACGACTTGAAAAAAAAATGTGCTCGGTTATTTTAACATTATAAATTTGTGTGTGACTAACATGGAAGCAATTCACTAAAATCTAATTATAATCATAAAAAATGA